GTCGCGGTCGACCGCCACTGATCCAAATGCCCAGAGCCTCCTGTGCACGACCGCGGTCGACCGCAGCGGTCGACCGCAGCGGTCGACCGCCAATCTGTCTGCTTCCATAACTGCTTCTGAGCTCCATCTCTACAATAGGAACGCATTCAAGCTTTTACATTCACCAGGTTTCAGACAATGGTGGTCAATGAATAAAATCATTTCATAACTTTTATTGGAAACAAAGACTTAAATCATTTTTATTAATTGTCAATATTACTTCTTTTTCACTGTTTTATTTAATGTAAAATATGATTTTAGCATATAAATCTTGGATGAAACTTCAAGAAACATGTAAAATGAGATATAAAATTAATTTATCATTTTACGTAGTCTAGGATACTTTTTCAATTATGTGCAAATATAAGCAACTTAAGTGAACAATATAAAGTTCGATAGATACATAATATTCAATTTTTTGAGCTGAATTACTTTAAAACAACCTGTTAATTGCCCGGTTTCAAATGTGAAAACTGTGTGAAACCAAGTATGGATAGTGGGTGCTAACTTTTCTAAGTTTTAGCTACTCAGCAAGCCAACATACATATATATATATATATATATAACAAACATTTTATATTAGAAAGACGATCCTAATATGCACATGATACTTATGATGCGAAAATAAAAGGTAACCTAACAAATGACAAACACAAAGAGAGAAGACATTTAAGAATGGTACTTACAAGGATGCAAAAGGAAGAACTTGATGAGTAGTGCAGGAAAATCATCCTTGCCCACAAGTAAGGATCACTCCTAGCTGACCATAGAAGCTCTGTGAGAGTATTCTAACGCCTATAACCCGCATGATGATTCTTAATGAAGTCATGATAATTTGTGATATCATATGTTCATAAAAATCGTACTTCCACAAAACCACAACTGATCCATGACAGCAGCTAATTTTACCAAAAGATCAAGCATGGCATCCTGTCAAGTTTCAGGACCAAACAAATTATCAATTATAAGGTAACTGACTCAGTCTCAACTTATTAAAGAAAATTTTCTCAGTAATATCTTCTCAAGCTTGAATTCTTGCCATGAAAAAAGAAAATCTAGCGCACTGTAAATAGACACTCTACAAACACTCTTCTTCTTTGTTGTTGGAAAAAGTGCAGCATATATATGTGTGTCTATACATGCAAATCATGGGTACCAGGTGACGGCCCATTTTGTTAAATGCATGCGCACGTGGGCGTGCGCGCCCGCACACACATATGCGCCCACGCGCGCGCACACACATATGTATGTTTACATAAATATATTTATGTATTATGTATGCGCGCACACGCGCGCACACACACGCATATATATATATATATATATACACACACACACACACACACACACATACATGTATACATGTATATATGTATGTGTGTGTGTACATGGGAAATATAATTCTAAGGAACCACCTTAGATTGAATCTAAGGATGCCCCTTCAAAATTAGATTATATGCAATCAATTTACTTGATCCACTCCGTTCATTTTGATCTATATGATTCGGATGTTATGTAAACCAAAAATTAGGCATAATGGGTTGTATTTACTAATGCATCAAGTGATAGTAAAATTAACGGTTTTATGACAACACAACAAAAGAGAGAATGAAAAATATGTGTGAGAAATACTCAAACATCACGAGTTTTATTTTGTAGATGTCTTAAGACATTTAGATCATGATGAATGGAGCGGATCGTCCATTGAAGTAGCACGATCCATACATTGAGAGGTGCATCCTTTGATTCAATCTAAGGTGGCACCTTAGAATCATATTTCTCCATATATATACATATGTATATATATATATATATATATATATATATATATATATGGTAAAGTGAATCTAAGGTGACTCCCTAGATGTAGCCTAAGGATGCGCGATCTTGGCCATTGAATCAATAAATTCCAAATACATCTCAGCCCTCAATTAATAACAATTTCCCATAAGTAAAAAAACAAATTTCAAAAATCGCAACCAATTCCAAAAAAAAGAGGGCTTCTTCTCAGCGTCGACATCGGAGAGCCGAGTTCGTCCGCGCTCCTCGATTTTGAGATCGACCTCCGGATCACGCCGCCGACAAGCTCTCACGCGTCGTCTCCCGCCACATGCTCACACACCGCCGCCGACTAATCGTGTGTCTTCTCCAGCCGCTATCGACTCCGCTCTCTCGACTTGCTGCCCTCGAGTCCGCTCTCTGATCACGCCGTCCACAGGTCCCTCGACATACTCTCAACGTCGTCGCCGTCCGCCCACGCTCACCACCGCAGGTACAAGTTTGTTTTAGCAGACATAGATTGCAGAACTTTCATCTCCATGCAGGTTGTTAAGAGAATGTTGATGATTGATCCTTGAATACATGTGCTTAACTGGCATAATCTATATAGTTTTTTAATTCCCTCGAAGTTCTTTAATTCTTGTTGTTTTTGGGAAATGAATTATGAATATTATCAAATTTTAGTTTAGATTTTCGGATAGGTTTATTGTTAAATTGGATATGAGCTTTAAAATTTATTTAAATTATCGTAATGAAATTGTTTAGTGAAATTGAAAGATGAACTTGAGGACGAATTTTTATAGATTTTGAACTTCTTATATGTGATAATTTGATAGCTTGTATGGATACTCCAACGATTCTCTAACGTGATACAACAATGGTTGAAGATGAAAACAAATGTATAGCCCTTGACCTTGAAGACGAGGACCATGGTTTACTATCTACGATAAGTTTTTTCTCTCAGGTGATAATGTCTTATTGTTTATAGTATACTACTATCTAATGACATATAACAAAATAGTTGCCTTTTATAATGAGGTTTATAAGTTTTGTTTCTCTATTTTTATAGGCATCCGAGCATGAGAAGAATGTTGATGAGCCTATTGGCATTGAAAATGGTGAAGGTAATTTTGTTGTTGATCCATATATCGGAATGGAGTTCTCTACTCATGAAGAAGCATATAATTTCTACAATGCATACGCCAGACTTAAGGGATTTGGTGTTCGCAAGGGTCACACAACTTGGTCGAGAAAGAAAGATACAATCATATCTAGAATATTTGTATGTGACAATGAAGGCTTTAAATTTTTAAAAGATAAAAGACAAGATAGTCGGAATGTAATTCGCAAGTTCGATACAAGATGTGTGTAGGCTGTCTAAAAATCACAATAGATAGTTGATCCCCCATCAAACACCGATGATGGAAGTTATAATCTGACGACTTCCAAAAAGCTACAATTTGAGGACTTTCACGTAGAAGGCTACAATCCGACGACCTTCACGACAACTGATGAAAGCTCTAATTCAACAGCATTCACAATCAACATCGGGAGTTACAATCTGACGACTCTCATATTTTCAAGGAGCCAAGACGAAGATTACAAGAGGACGATCTGTGCAAAGCTCTAGCAAAAGAGACTACAAATTGACGGTCTCTTCATATTAGAATGCAGATATCTCTCAAACCGTAAAGAAAGACCAAGATTACAAGAGGACGATCTGTGCAAAGCTCTAACAAAAGAGACTACAAATTGACGGTCTCTTCATATTAGAATGCAGATATCTCTCAAACCGTAAGGAATTTGGCGAAACGGAGGAAGCAAACCGAAGACTTTGGCTCGGTTCAAATGGCCCCGTCTCGTCGAGATAGCCGATTTTCATATATAATTCGTCCAATTCTGACTTACGGTTTGAAAGTTATGACCTGTTCTTCGTAGCAAATTATGTTCTGAAGTCCGTCTGCAAGACTGGACTTCATCAGAACATTGGACTTAGCCTGAAGCCCGCCAAGCCCGCCTAAGGTTCGCCTCTGCATTACAGAGTCAAAGCGCACATGCTCAACTCTGCGTTTTCAACATCAAAACGCAGAGTTAATCGCTAAAACAGCACAACTGTGCGTTTTCAGCCTTTAAACAGGCTCAACTCTGCGTTTTCAATCTAGAAACGCAGAGTTAATCTTTAAAAAGTCCGTCTGCAAGACCGGACTTCGTCAAAACATTGGACTTAGCTTGAAGCTCGCCAAGCCCGCCTAAGATTCGCCTCTGCATTACAGAGTCAAAACGCATAGGTCGAACCAGCGTTATAACCTCAAAACGCAGAGGTTATCCTTGTGATATAACATCAAAACGCAGAGTTACGATCCAACTCTGCGTTTTCAGCTTAAAACGCAGAGTTCACCTCTAAAACGGCCCAACTGTGCGTTTTCAGCCTAAAACAGGCTCAACTCTGCGTTTTCAGCCTAAAACGCAGAGTTCATCTCTAAAACAGCACGACCTGTGCGTTTTCAGCCTGAAATTCATCTCTAAAACAACACTAACTGTGCGTTTTCAGCCTAAAACAGGCTCAACTCTGCGTTTTCAACATCAAAACGCAGAGTTAATCGCTAAAACAGCACAACTGTGCGTTTTCAGCCTTTAAACCAGGCTCAACTCTGCGTTTTCAGCCTAAAACGCAGAGTTCATCTCTAAAACAGCACGACCTGTGCGTTTTTAGCCTAAAACAGGCCAAACTCTGCGTTTTCAGCCTAAAACGTAGAGTTCATCTCTAAAACGCATGCGGCCTATGCGTTTCGACTCCCAGCGAGCGCCCAACTCTGCGTCTCATCTTTAAGACGCAGAGTTAAGGTCCGAACGCAAGCGGCCCTTGCGTTTTCAACTCCCAGCAAGCGCCTAACTCTGCGTCTCATCTTTAAGACGTAGAGTTAAGGTCCGAACGCAAGCGGTCATTGCGTTTTCAACTCCCAGCAAGCGCCCAACTCTGCGTCTCATCTCTAAGACGCAGAGTTAAGGTCCGAACGCAAGCGGCCCTTGCGTTTTCAACTCCCAACAAGCGCCCAAGTCCGCGTCTCATCTCTAAGACACAGAGTTAAGGTCCAGAACACCCAGATTGGCGTTTTGACTCGTTCAAAGCAATAACAGAACGGTTTCAAAACCGTTTTCCCCACGATTTAGGGAACTGTTTAAGAGGGGGCGGTTACAACCCACTCAGCCCATTGAGGAGCGGATTAAGGGGGTAGTTACCACCCTTAATCCCCTATAAATAGTGGGAAACTCAACTGAGTTCGGATCCTTCTTTTTGGGGGGAGCAAAGAAGAGATCTTCGGCTAGTTGGAGGGGAATTGTTAGAGTTTCTCATCAACAAAGGGAAATTCGGTCAAGGGCTGGCTTTTTGGACCTGAGGATTGGCAGCAAAGAAGAGCATTCGTTCTTCGACTGGAGCTTTAGAGGTCGACAACAGAAGCTTCTTTATCCTTGGCTTATTAACCGAACTTTCGGTTTAAATCAACTCTTTCATAGAGATAAACTCGCTCTTAAGACTTGCCACGCAAGTTCTCCACAGCGTCAAATCGTGAGGAGAAGACATCGTTCCAGTGAATCAAGACGTTCGGATCGTCAACGAGAAGCATACTCGACGCGAGCATTCGAGGGATGCATCTCATCGCTACCGTGAAGAACCCAGTTTTAAACAAAGGGGAGAATCAAATTCATTCTCCTCTCTTTTGTAATCGGAATCCAAATTATAATTGATTTTGAGAGGAATACAAGTTAATTTTTCTTTCATTGTCTTTTTACGGCAAATTTCCAACAAACAAAAGAGGGTTGACGAGCAGGAGGCCATCAATGGACATGCTCAAATTTCCAACAATGGCTATCAAATTTCCAACAAACATTCTGAAGATCTTTCAAAGAGGGTTGATGAGCAGGAGGCTATGCTCAAATCACAGCAGGAGGCCATCAATGGACTCATGGCCATGTTGACTCAAATCGTCGCAGACAAGGCCAAATCTCAGGAGACAGATTCGTCGCTTAGGCAAGAATCTTCCCGGAGAGGAAAAGCGTCTTCATCCCGACCTCACACAAGCAAAGGGAAGGGAAAAGTGGTTGATGATGCGGCTTTTGACCAAGAAGCCCACAGCCTGGAATCCTCCTCTGATGAAGGAAGAGAGACTGAGAATGAGCAGAATCTTCAGTCTGCCAAAATGGAAGAATTAGAAGCCCGCCTCAAAGCCATTGCTAATAGAAGCGAGCTCCAAGATGAGGGAGTTATCAGACCCTATCCTGCCGAATGGGATGCAGCCCCTTATCCTCCAAAGTTCGAGGTCCCGACGCTACAAACTTTTGACGGCACGGGATCACCGAACCAACATATTTATCATTTCAAGTCACAGACTAACGATGCCATCCTGGCTCGATTGTTCATTGGCACCCTCAAGGAAGTTGCCTTTGAATGGTTCAGGAAACTTCCCGTGGGATGTATCCAAAAGTGGACAGATCTAGAGAGACTCTTCCTATCAAGATTCTTTGAAGAGGATACAGAAGTCTCCATTCATACCCTTCTCGCCACTAAGCAGAAGAAGAGGGAGTCCGTCAAAGCCTTCGTCAAAAGGTTCCGAACTATGGCTCTCCGGTGTTCGTCAGGTATGACACACCTTAGTAGAGACCTGTCGACACAACTTGCAAACCGACCTCCTAGCCCGAATAGGAGTTGTAAAATGTCGTTCTTGGAGACAACTAATCTCTCAAGGCGAACAGGCTCAAAAGATTATTACCAGGATCAAAGCGGAAGAACAAAGTAGGCAGGATCAGCCCGAGCAATCGGACCAAGCCCGACCTTCTCCTGAGCAATCGGACCTAGCACAATCCTCTCAGTCAGAAGGGGAAGATACTACGGCCACTGAAGCTAATCCTCTTCAGTAGGATGCCGGGTCTCCAATAACTATCACGTTAACAGTTACCTCTGATAGTCAAACTCGTTAGATAATGGCTCACTAGGCGATGTGCTATGTCTACTCTTTTTTCCCCATGCACTTATTCAAGACTGGGGGTTAGTTTATTTGTAGTCCATTGGATTATGAATAATAAATTTTCTGAGTGGTCATGTTCAATAAAATACCTCTGTCAACCACAAAATCTATCACAAAACTATCACGTTAACAGTTACTTCTGATAGTCCCTCAACTTGCCAATCCTCTTCAATAGGATGGTAGGTCCACAAAACTATCATGTTAACAGTTACCTCTGATAGTCAAACTCATCAGATAATGACCTACCTAGTGATGTGACTCTATTCCGACCTCTTTTTATTCCCTTGCTAAGTCTTAATCAAGACTGAGAGTTGATTACTTGGAATCCACTGGATTAAGAGTAACGAATCTTTCACATCGTCGAGTTAACATTACACTTCTGACGATCATAATCCCCACAGAGTATGCATTCAGTTTGCATCACTCCCAATTTGTCACGTTAACAATACACCTCTGACAAATTCACTTATCAATCCTCGTCAATAGGATGATAAGTCCCCAAAGTTGCTCCAATCGCAACACAAATCCTGTCACGTTAACACTACACCTCTGACAAAATCAACTTATCGACTCTCGTCAATAGAGCGATAAGTCCTCAAAGTTGTTCTGATCGCAACACCAATCTTGTCACGTTAACAATACACCTCTGACAACCCACTTATCAATCCTCGTCAATAGGATGATAAGTCCCTAAAGTTGCTCCAATCGCAACACAAATTCTTATCAGGTTAACAATACACCTTTGACAAAACCCACTTATCAATCCTCGTCAATAGGATGATAAGTTTCCAAAGTTGCTCCAATCGCAACACAAATTCTTGTCACGTTAACAATACACCTCTGACAAAACCCACTTATCAATCCTCGTCAATAGGATGATAAGTCCCCAAAGTTGCTCCAATCGCAACACAAATTCTTGTCACGTTAATAATACACCTCTGACAAAACCCACTTATCAATCCCCGTCAATAGGATGATAAGTCTCCAAAGTTGCTCTGATCGCAAGACAAATCCTGTCACGTTAACACTACACCTCTGACAAAATCAACTTATCGACTCTCGTCAATAGAGCGATAAGTCCTCAAAATTACCCGATCGCAAATTCTTCTTATCACGTTAATATCACACCTCTGACAAAATCCACTTATCGACTCTCTTCAATGGAGCGATAGGTCCACAAACCCGTCAAGTTAACACCACACCTCTGACGACCAAATCAACTTATCGACTCTCTTCAATAGAGCGATAGGTCCATAAAATACTGTTAGGTTAACATAACACCTCTAACAG